TAGGTAAAAATCATTTGAGCTTGCACATTTCCTTCAGCTGAAGGCAGCAGGAGGTTTGGACAACTACTCCCAAGTTGGATACAAGTGCTGGAGGGCTGGAGCTCACCCAGAAGAATGCCTTGTGTCCCATCCACACAGCATTCCCCTAAGCCATGCAAATGGTCACAGGATGGAGAGTCACACACTGAAGTTTTGGTTCAGCACAGGTTAAGTTGGTTACTGAAACCCAGGCTGTGTGACTTGTAACTGGGAATAGCCCAGGTGGAGAGGAGGCAATGTCTGTTCCTGGAGCAGAACAAAGACCTCCCCATGTCTTTTCTTGCCTACAGAGGAAAAGACAAAGCAGTCCTGGCCCAGGAACTGGTGGGACCCATCTCCACCTGAATTTCACAAAACCTCACTAAAATCTTTTGACCACTTGGGGTTCTCACAAACCTCTCCAGTGTTTTGCCACCACCCTACACACGACCTTATTCTTTAGGACGGTGTTACATGCTGGTCTGGGGAGGTCACAGCGCAGCAAGGCTAGGTTTTTGTTTCAAGCCACCACTGCTTCTGTGCCTGGTGGAGCTGTCCTGCACTCCCATGCTGGCACAGCAGCCACTGGTTGGTTTTAGTGGCTGCCCCCAAACTGGAGAGGGTCTGCATGTAACAGCTGGAGCTGAGCATGGACAGGGCCATGCAAGAGACAGCTTCTGGGTCACTCCCAGGTGACAGGCCTTCTGTTTTTCCAAGTTGCTACAGAGAAGAGACTATACAATTAATCCTTGCTAATATATAATGCGTGCTTGTCCTTGTTTTGCACCGTACTGTCCTCTGTTACAGTATTCATGTGCCCATACACACATCTACCAAAACCTTTTCTGTTGTTACCCTCATTGGTCAGGAAGCACCAGATCCACCACCAAAAGGTAACCTGAAGGTTTTATATGTTTTATAATCCCCTCTGTAACCTCACCCTGCCCTGGGGAGGCCACCACCCTGCTGCAGAGCTCTGACTTTGTCTGCTGAGGGAAAGCCTGTGGAGTAAAACCTTGCAAGATAATAAATACAAAGGCAGAGTCAGGGTTCCTGAGACATATGTGCTTAATAGTTCAAAGATTCAAGAGCAGCTGCAGTTCAAAGATTCAACTCAGCTGCAAGAAGGATGGGCTCCAGGGACCGATCTCCACCTTACCAACATCCGCTCAGTCAGCAATGGCTCCACAAACATTTTATCAGGGTGGTGAGCAAATTAATGCTTAGCTAGAATTTAATAAGTTACTAGGCTGCTTTTGCACATTTGCCAGTAAGTCTTTATTGCATACATTTAGTGTAAGTTTATAGGCTTATTTTTATTTTGGGCACTGCAAACATTACCAAAACAATGTAACCTAAAGAGAATCAGTAGAGCAACATTTTATGTGGGAAAATAATACTTACCGACTTGCCGGTCGTTTTTCCACCTGTGGAAGGAAAAAACCAAAATACAAGTCAATTGCAACTAATAATTAATACTGCCTTGAAACCAATGGAAGATTCAAAAAAGGTTCAACTTAAATAACGAATTAAATATAAACACAGTACTCGTCAGGGTGAGTAAATTTTCAGTTTATTAAAGGGAGACTTTTCTCAGTTTTTAGGCAAAACTTCACTCGGCAGCCTTTGGTTCTTCAGAGTGAGCATAAACTCCTACACTGCCAGGAGAGCCTCAAAGGGACTGAGGAGGCAAAGCATCCCATGGCAGCTCACCACACATCATTCAAGGGGGTGGTGAACCAGCCACCCACAAATGATGAGTACTGTAACAACTCACTCTTGGGGATGTTACCTTCAAGGCAAGTCAAGATTAAAGAATAGGCTCAAGATGCCCTGCAGGGATGGAGGTCAAGTCCTGAAAAGCGACTTACAGAGGACTGAATATAAAGCCCCAAGTGAGTGATCCACTTTAGCAGGCACTCCCATAACCTGAACCCTTAACCTGGGAAGACCGGAAAGAGCAGAGGGGTCCCACTGAGGGCAGCAAGAGCACACAGCTGCTTGCAGCCCTGAAGTCACTTCCAGCTGCTCTTGGCAGGCCTCCTACCCCTGGCAGCACTCCAAGCAGAGCCCTGCAGGGCTTCCCCAGCTCAGGAGACAGGCTTGAAGGCTGAGCTTTCACTGTGTCAGATAAAGGCCCCATGCCCACATAGTGGATGCCAACATTTTATATAAAACCACATGAGCAAGCTCATTATCGTTAAGATAAGACCAAGTACAAGATGTGAACTTTGAAATCCTTGCTTGTTAAACAAGTCAGGTCATAATACCTCTATAAGGCCATAATACATCTTATAATGCCTATGAAAAGTATCTCTGTGAAAATCATTATTTAGTCCATAGTCCACAACACTTGAAAACAGCTGACAGCAACACTGTAGGTTTTGACAGAATATTAAATCAAGTAAATCTTCAGAAATCACTGAAAGAGATTATTCCAATTCTTTCCTTCACTGCTGTGGACAAGTACCTTCACAACAGAGACAGTAGTACTATGCAGGTGATTCAAGAATGTATTTTATTAGGGAGCAAGCAACATTCTGAAAGTGCTAACAGACCCAGTTCAGGGCACATGTGGCTACACGAGTTATTGAAGTTATTGGCATTTGTCCCTTCCACAACCCACCAGAGAAGATACACTGAAGATACCAAGGTGTCAGCAATAGCCCATCTTCATAGCAGCTCCTTGGTTATTTCCACTTGTTGGCCTGTCCAGCACAATGTGCATCCCACTGCCCGGTTTTAATAACATGCACTGAGAAAAACAGTTTGGGCAGCTCACTTCTGTCGCTTAGCTAAGCCTTGGAAAAAAATATTTAGGATCTGGTTGTTGCTTTGGTTTGGGGTTTCTTCTGCTTTCCTAATAGCAAAAGTATCACCTCTGCAAGAAACCTTACCCAGAGGAAATCAAAGAGGCAAATTTTTTCAGACATCATCATCTGACTTCAATGTTTAAGAGACACAACTATTTCTAAACATTTTGACTTCACCCCTCTATTCTCTATTCTTGTTTTGCAGAGAGGGTTGGGGATACTCCAGACAGCATTAAAGCCAACCTTTCAGCACAGGCACCTCAACTGAGGACTCCACTGTCAGGCAGCTTCGGGGTCTGACTTACAAAGCACAGAGCACCCACCATCTTGCATGATAAATCTGAAGCTAGCTAAAGGCAGGTTGGAGCAGTCCCTCTTTGGGGCAACCTTCAGCCCCTCTTACTTTTTCCCCACAAACGATGACCCACAGAACTTCTCATTTTCATGATACCAAAATACCAAAGAGCTCCACATTTTTCATGGCAAAGCTCGAATCAGTTGTTCAGTTTGTATTCCCTTAAGACATTTAACATTTTTTTAAGACATGTAAAGTCAACAACCACTCAGTTCTTGGCTTCAGCACCACATCTAAATGATTATCAGTGTGCCATTCTCTGCATCCCAACCTTGCAGGTCAGGTGGGGCAGCCTTACAGCTCCAGCCCCCTCCCACCAGGGTGGTTCCTTCCCTGCAGTCACAGAGATGCAGTGGATGCTGCAGCCCTTGCAGCTCACAGTCTGTGGCACGAGGTGGGAGCACACTGCCTTGCTCCATGCAGCCATCACAGCAACTCTGCCCGGATGAAATGCTTCCTGTCCATGGCCACAATAAATCTGTACACACCCACACTGTCACCTAGGATGTTCCTGCCTCCAGAGCAAGCCCACAGTCCTACAATTGACCTGGGGCACACACAAGCCTAGTGCCTCTGCTCCCTGGAGCAGGCCTACAGCACCTGCACAAGGATGATGCTCCCAACAGGACATCCCCCTCCAGGAGTCCCTGCTTCACACCTTGCTACTCCAGAAAAACACCTACACAGAAACTATCCAAGCAAATCTATAAAGCAACAAGCCTGATATTAAATGGGCAGACACAGCTGCATCCCATTTCTTTCTCTTCAGAGAACTCTTTCCATTTTTCTGGTTGTCTGCCCAAGCCAGCAAGACCCCTGGCAGCACCAGTGACATGTCCTGCCTGCTCATTACTGCGGCTGCTTGTCCTCCAAGATTTGCTTGCTGAAGATGCAATGGCATTTTCTTGGGTTCATTTACTTGTGGGGTGGAGAGTGGGCATTTCAGGTTCCTTCCCTGTGTGAGACAAGGTTTCTCCAGCCCAGGAGCTGCTTGCTGTGAGAGACACCCATGGACTCAGGCACTGCAGGACCAAAAGACCAACAAAAGGCAATGGAGCCGTACATCACAAAAAAGTTGGGTTTGCACCTCTATTACTCAGTGTTCCAGTTTAGACAGGAAAAAATCTTCAGGATTAATTAGATAGGTGGGTTCTGCCCTTATCTGAATCTTCCCGCTATTTATCTATGTATTTAAAAACCACTAAGTCAATCCTAGGTAAACACTGTCAATGAAAAAGCATTCTATAACATCTGCAAGGAACACCACCTTTAACTCGTGCTCAGATCTCAAGCCCCACATGGCTGACAAGTGTAGTGTAGGATAAACCTTACCGGCTCAGCTCTCAGAGCTTACAGAGACCGAGGCACCAGCTCTCGGCTCTCACTCGGGTTTCAAGGCAGGCTCGTATAAACACGAGGATACAGCGTTTGCAGAGGGAGAGTAGAGACCCAGGATAGCCGGGGACTTCCTCAGACCGACACCGAGCAGCAGAGGCAGCCCTGGGCGGGCGAGACCCTTGGCCACGCTGTCAGCTCGGTCACGGCACGAAGAGC